AGAGAGAGAGGAGAGAGTTAAAATAATCAAGTCACTTGCGCAAACTGAGAGTTCACCGCGTAACATGACAAAAAGCACAAACATAAGCCTCGTACTAACAAGTTCTGGTAAAAGCTCCTACACTGTAATTATTTCACTATTAACAAAACACCAGACATTAAGATTAAGCTAAAACATTGGTGCTTTCAACAGATCAATTACATAATCGCATGTCACGATATAACTTCCATAACAGACCAATTAACTGTTACGACCATTTGGGTAGAGCGTACTTCAGCAAATCAGTTACATTTGAAGACTAGTATTTTCGCCAGAAGAATACATCACGCCTATAAGTTAATAAATCTCAGCTACTGTTTAAATACGTCACCAGCATGCACAATATTGAAGCATAATAATCATATTACACTTGATAAGACGGCATAATAGGCAAGTGCGTTTTTTTTTAAAAAACACAAATAAGCTGCTTGAAGATCAGTTCCCATTATTTGTCTTCTATGAAATCTGCCTTTGATTCAGCCTGACCCAAAAAAATTTTCCCGTATTTCCAGTAACAGAGGGGGCTGAAGGGTAATGAAACTAGTCTGTGGTCTAAAATGGCAGGTCCTTAGTAAACAGTTGTTTGGGGTTTCTAAATGGTGGTGAAAAAGGTGCTTCAAATGAAAAAAAAAGCAATACATTTGTCAGCAGGTTTAACAACACCTTGTCTGATAAATCTGCAAATTTCTTCATCATGTTGTTTCCTCTTGAAACATTTAGGAACATCAAAATTGTGAAGACCTTATTTCAGGACTGTAGCCAGAGTTTCTAATTAGGGGCCTGGGGAATTCAGGGACACATTTATAGATAAATTACTTTTTTTTTGGTATTTTTAAATAGGCAAACTGAAATAAAAAAATATTTAATACTGTATTTCATTAACACTTGTTTTTTTTTATTCCTTTTTAAACAATGAAAGGTTACTGAAACCACAAGAGTAAATTTTTTTGTTGTTTAAAAATGTGCAGACCTCATCATTCAAGTTTTGCTTCAGTCTAGCTTTACGTTAAATGAAACAGCTCCACTTATTTAACTACAGGACAGTCCAGATGCCAGTGTGTGTGTGGCTCCCATTCTGTACCAGCACAGCCCAAGTCTGACCTTCCGCTAGTGGTGTTTTGGCAAAATGTCGAAGAGGCATCAACGAAGGGCAGAGAGTGAGGGGAGGGAGGGGGGGGTAACCGGAGGCTCACCCCCTCCCCACCCCAAGTGGAAATAAAGAGACTGCGGTCACAGCTGTAGCAGCCAGTTTCCCCCTTTAACCCCCAACCCCCCACCCAGCCTGGGACCTAATTGTTGCCCTCCCCACCTTCATCGTCCTGCTGGTCGCTCGTCCACAGCGTCAGGTTATCGCGGAGGAGTTGCATGATGAGGGTGGAGTCCTTGTAGGAGTCCTCATTGAGGGTGTCCAGCTCAGCGATGGCATCATCGAAGGCGGTCTTCGCCAGGTGACAGGCCTGCTCGGGGGCGTTCTGGATCTCGTAGTAGAAGACCGAGTAGTTGAGGGCCAGGCCCAACCGGATGGGGTGTGTGGGTTGCATGTGCTCTTTGCTGATCTCGTGGGCCTCCCCGTAGGCCTTCTCCGAGGACTCCACTACCGTGGCGCGCTTCTCCCCAGACGCCACCTCGGCGAGGTAGCGGTAATAGTCCCCCTTCATCTTCAGGTAGAAGACCTTGCTCTCGTACTGCGTGTCGCTGCAGTTTTTGATCAGGTAATTGTCCAGCAGGTTGAGCACATCTTGGCACACGGACTCCAGCTCCTTCTCGATCTTCTCTCTGTAGGCCCGCACCATCTCGATCTTCTTCTCGTTGCCGTCGGCCGAGGTCTTCTGCTCGATGCTGCTGATGACCCGCCAGGATGAGCGCCGCGCCCCCACCACGTTCTTGTAAGCGACGGACAGAAGGTTCCGTTCTTCGTTAGAAAGGGCTTCGTTCAGTTCCGTTACCTGATGGGCAAGATACAGAGAAACTTTAAGGGAAAGGAACGAGCACAAATACACAATACCAGTGTTTTACAACCAGAAATAGGTGAAAGATAACTCGAGAAAGCAACGGGGGAGGGTGGGGAACAGACAAGATTAATAATCTTGCAAAATCATTGTTGGATCATAGTCTTCCACTTTTCCAATTTGAGAACTTACCCTTAAGTGTTCAGATTGGCAGTAAAGTTGTTGTTTGGATTACAATTAGATACAAAAAGACATTTTACAAAATCAGCACAATGTACCAATTTCATTTTGCAACACATCAACAAAACTGGCATACCATCTGTCATTATGTATTTTGGACATTTCAACAATATTCACATGTAGTGAACCATCCTGGAGGACATTATGGGGAAGGGAGATTAGATGGATCTTGTGCAGGATTGAAATTGGAAAAGTGGAAAAGCTTAGGTGGGGTTGAAAGCAACAATTGAACAGATGGGTATCATCTTGCCCATTTATTCAGGGATAAGGAGGAATGGAGGGTTGTGAATCTGTGGAATTCTTTGCTGTTGTGTCTATTTGAGGCTGAGAGAGACAGGTTTAATCAGTAGGGGGATCTAAAGTCATGGGGAAAAGGCAGGATAGTGGAGTGGAGGGTTTCAGATCAACCATGATCTTGTTGACTGGTACAGTAGACTCAATGGGCTGAACAGCCCACTTGTGCTCCAATCTCTGATGATAGAACATTTGAGTTCGAGGTTCCCAGTGATAGTGGACCCATGTCAAAAGAATCAAGCAGAGTTGAAGAGTTTGACATTGGGTAGCAGGATGGATGGTGTGACCTTACAGGCAAGGAATGCAACAATCCACAAATTCTCATTTGGCTTGAGGTGTCGAGAACATCAAACGGAACGATAGGAGGGAATCAGTGAAAGCTGGAAGAATTTAGCTCCAGCTTTTCCAATATTAAACTGGAGCAAGGTGCCTTCTGAAACGATGCCCAAACTCTTCAGAGGGGTACTGCTTTGGCAGCCAGTCCCCTAAAAAGCCTGCTGTATCAATTTCAAATGAACCGCTCAACAACAAATGCCAACTGAACCACACACATTCCTGCTCAGGTCTTTAAACACTGCTGAAAGCCAATGTTCCACATGCAAATGTAGCCTTAGAACAACATGCAAGGCTGATCGTGTTTCAGTTGTTGTTAGATGCCCGGTGGTAATATTCCACTTTCAGAACCTTGATGTGCTAGCTCATTACCAATCTCTACAGCTGAGATCAACACCACTCAAATATGAGAGAGCAGAACAGCTTAACCACATCCTCAAATCAGCCTTCATTCATCAGTGAAGCAGCAAACTAGTGGACACTATTGGCACTGCCTTTTGGAACCTCCTACAATGTTAGAACTGACAGCCATGCAAGCCCTGATACTGCAGATTCAAGAACACTTCCGCTTTAAAAATCAACTCGAAAAACAAACTTTTAACTTTTCTCAAAAAAAAAACGCTCTTTCAAGATGGAAGCAGCAACAGACCTGTTATACCGGAAAACTTCAAAGCCTACTGAACTGTTATTTCTCACATCTTCTCTGTAGCTGTAACACTATATTCTGCATTGTCTTAGTACCCTAATGTACTTATGCAAGGTATGTTTTGCATGCTAACCAAACAAATCAACTTTTCATTGTAACTTGGTACATGTGACAATAATAAGTCAAATCAAAATCTCAGCAATTATAAAGGCAGACAGTCAGAACTCAATTCCTTTATTCATTCAGGAGAAAGGAGGGCGTCGCTGGCTAGGCAGCATTTATTCCCCATCCCTAATTGCCCAGAATCAACCACATTGCTGTAGGCCTGGAGTCACATGTAGGCCAGGCCAGGTAAGGATGGCAGTTTCCTTCCCTAAAGGACATTAGTGAACCAGAGGGGTTTTTACTGACAATCAGCAATGGATTCACAGTCATCATTAGATTCTTAATTCCAGATATTTTTTTTATTGAATTCAAATTCCACCATCTGCCATGGCAGGATTCGTACCCAGGTCCCCAGGACTTTACCTGGGTCTCTGGATTAACAATCCAGTGATAATACCACTAGGCCATTGCTGCCTCCTTCAATAACATTGGGCTTTTAAAAGGTGTGAGAATTGAATTCTGGGCAAGTGGGAGACAGAAAAAGACCTCAAATTAAGTAACCTTTGTCTGAGTAAACAACAGCTCACTTGAAATTAACCTTGCAGCCATTTTATTTTGGTTGTGATAAAAACAGACTACAAAAGCTTTGAATGCTGACCCTCCAAGAAGAACTCAAGACATCAGAGGGGGTTCTCAGCCAACGGGAACATAAGGAAGGTAGCAGAGATCAGCAACTGTTCTACTTAAACTCTCCAGTAATCTGCAAGTGTCTGTAAATGCAATACCTCTCTAGTTCTGCAGTTTGGTACAAACAGGGGCAGAACTTATACAATTAATGGTAGGACCTTGTGTTGTGTTGTAGAACAGCAGGGCCTAGGGATTCAGGTACATAATTCTTTGAAGTTTGCATCACAGAGAGGATGGTTAAAAAGGTGTTTAGCACGCTTGCCTTAAATCGCTCAGTCCTTGAGTATAGGAGCTGGGAAGTCATGTTGAGGTTGTACAGGACATTGGTGAGGCCTCTTCTGGAGTACTGTGCCCAGTTCTGGTTGCCCTGTTATTGGAAGGATATTATCAAGCTGGAGAAGGTTCAGAAGAGATTTACCAGGATGTTGCTGGATATGGAAGGTTTGAGGTATAAAGAAAGGCTGGATAGGCTGGGATAACAAGGCGTAGAGCTGGATGAACACAGCAGGCCAAGCAGCAGAGGAGCAGGAAAGCTGATGTTTCGGGTCTGGATAGGCTGGGACTCTTTTCAATGGAGCGTAGACCGTATTGAGGTTTATAAAATGACAAGGAATATAGATGGGATTAATGGCAGGTGTCTTTTCCCTAGGATGGGGGAATTTCAAGATTAGGGAGCATATATTGCTTTTTTAAAAAAGAGAGAGGAAAGAGATTTTACTAAGGTCATGAGGGGCAATTTTTTTTCTTTTACACGGAGGGTGGTTCACATGTGAAATCAAGTTCCTGAGGAAGTGGTGAATGCGGGTACAATTACAACATTCAAAAGACACTTGGATAGATACATGAATTGGGAAGGTTTGGAGGGATATGGGCCAGGAACAGGCAGGTGTTTAGTTTGGAATTTTGTTCAGCATGGACTGGTTGGACTGTAGGGTCTGTTTGTGTTGTAGGACTATAACTCTAGTGAGGTACAACAAACCTCCTTTATCTTTATCAGATTGTGGATTTGCTGGGTCTACCTGTACAGGCAAACAGAATTTGTCTATGAAAGCAATTCCAGCTGTTGAATCAGATTTTTAAAAAGTTTCAACCATCTCACTCTAGAAAGAGAAACTCAAAGTAGTAACAGGCCTGCAACAATCTTAGAAACTAACTTTTAAAAAGATAAAAATAACAGGATTAAAAGATGCTCACTTAAGCGCAACAGTAATTTTGCAACAACCAAACAAACAGAAGGCTCCATTTCAAACTAAAGTTTTAATGCTCATCATTTTAAAGTTGAAACCCTCAAAAATTAAACAAGGGACCCGTATATCAGCTTATACAAATTCTTAGTTCATGGAACAGAAAGGATAAATAAGCCAGAGTTCAATCCAGTCTATAAGGGCAAAGAATCACGTGCAAGAACATAAGGATACCACGACTGTCCATCTACAGAAGGGAAAAATAAACTCTCCCATCTGATCAGAGGAATCCCATCACCAGCAAGATCAGAAACAGATTCTGAATTGCTCAGTCTAACATCTCGATCAGGACCTGCTGCCTGAGACTGGGCAGTTTCAAAAGACATGTGTAACACCTGCTACGGTGTTAGCGTTTGTACCAGAGGTGTCTGACTGCAAGAAAGGCATATGGGCCTTAAAGCTGCATTTGTAGACATAACCTGCTGACAGATTTTTGACTGGATTTGTAGCCAACGGACTCCAGAGTTTCAATACCAGGTGGGAAAACACAACAGCGCTTCATCGGAGGCTGCACCAATATTAACCAGCAGGGTAATGAAACGTCTGTGAATTAACGAACCAGCCCTGCAAGCCAACCAACCACAACATAACCTGATGTTCCCTACCAGCACATTCACTAACCCATTCCCAGTCACTGATGAACTGAATGGAGTTAGAACCGGACTCTTCAGCCAGCCTTTTGTCTACCATGCTTTCCACTGGCTTCCACCTGCTGTCCAATCCGACCCAAGATTTCCAAGGGAGTACTTCATGATTTCCTTCAGTTCTGACATAAAACATTAAGTGTTTCTCTCTCCACAATGCTGAGTTTCTTCAGCATTTTGGGAGTTTCAGATTTCCAGCATTTACAGTATTTTGCCTCTAGTCTTCACTGTTTCCGATTGGTCAATGACCGTGCACGAGCTGCCAGCTCAGAGGCAGATGCGCAACATGCACATGTTCTCCAGTGTGTGGGGCCAACTTCAGACTTACAAATCAGCACGAAGACAGAGGAAGCGATATAACTGCCCATTCCAGGGAAGCCCCACAGACGGGTGAATATTCGAGTCCCTGACCAGAACCGGTCAGTAATGCAGAAGTTCACTTCCTTCAGTAGCACATTCACTCCCAAGTGATCTGTACAAACAAGACACATTCAAGGACTGCCAAATGCCATCTGGTTCACTAATGTCCTTTAGGGAAGCAAACTGCCATCCTTACCTGTTCTGACCTACGTGTGACTCCAGACCGACAGCAATGTGGTCGACTCTTAACTGCCCTCTGGGCAATTAGGAATGGGCAATAAATGCTGCTTAGCCAGCGATGCCCTCGTCGCGTGAATGAATTAAAAAACACAATTCTCTTCTTCATCAGGCAGGGAGTGAAGGGAAACAAGCCTGCCAAACTCAAGCCAAAACAGCAATTGCTGGAAAAGCTCAGTGGGTCAGGCAGCATCTGAGGAGAGAAAT